ATGACGCCAAGTGTAAGTGTTCAGGCGGCAGCATCGACCGTGGATGACTCTTGCGTAGTTTCGAAAAAATTTGTCATCAATATTTTTTTTAAAAAATGACAAAGAAATCAGAGCTTCTATCATTGCACTCGCCTGTAATTGTTCATGTATTGCAAATAGACGCGGCTAAATATTAATATACCGCACATACTTTTGTAATGGTCGCAGGCTGTTTTTTTCGAGATTTCGGGTGCAAATTGCATGGTCGGCAATTACACCGAGAAAAACTCTAAAATTTCTTCACCCTTTATGTTTTCAGCCCTACTTGCCTTTATTGGAGCCGAATATTCGATTGTACTGGGAAAAACAAAAGCAAACCTTCCTCACTTTCACGTGGTTGCAAAAATGTTATTCTTCATCGCCATTCTCCTTTGTACTCGTCGTATCCTCATTCTGAACTCCATCCAAGATAAGGTCGCCCTCCATTCAGTCGAATACACTTGAGATTTCCGCACCCTTGAAGGTTGTCTCCGCCGACTTCAAAGCAACCCCAACACAAGCTACGAAAATCCACTGCCACACGTAACAAGGCCTCTTACCCATCCACTCGGCGTTTTTTGGTGGACAGTAGCGTCTACATTGTACTAAAAGGGGCATCAGGGGCTGGCGAAAAATCTCTGAGGCACCGTGCTTTTGCTATCGGCATGTGCCGAAAACTCGGCACGGCTGCGTTATCTTGTCCCGAAAACAAAAGAAAACAAAAGAAAAGAAAGAGCTTCGGGAACGACTCGCTGCTCAATTTAAAAAAAATGGTGCGGTTATTTTGCGGGTAATTTTGAAATATCATTTTGAGGAGGATTCTGCAACGAAGTTCTGGGGACGGCTGTTAAATAGGTGTGGCCAGTGCGCGAGTATACTAATCGCCGGATAAAAGTTACCTACACCCGAACGCTGTCCGGCGCGGCTGATCAGTGGCTAGACGGGGCTCGGCAGCTGACCCGAAGGTCGCGGTTTCGATCCCGGCCGTGGCGGTCACATTTCGATGGAGGCGAAATGAGAAAGGCCTGTGTACTGTGTGACGTCAGCGCACGTTAAAGAACAACGAGACGATCAAAATTTGCGGAGCCCTTCACTGCGGCATCTCTCATAATCATACGGTGATTCTGTAACTTAAAATCCGTATTAATGTAACTTAAAATCAGTATTATTATATACCGGCACGCTGTTTCTCACACCAAAAAAGCGCGACACGGCTCAGGTTCGGGTCTAAACGTGAAAAAGAATGAAATAGGCATGCGTAGCCTTCTGGTTTTCCGTGCTGCCATTTTGTCGAGGGTTTGTTTTTAGCCAGAGAAATGAATTCCACAGTTTCCGTTGTCACTGGCTCACTCGTTGCTTCTACGTCACTGTCAGCTGATTTCTTTGAATTTATGGCAGGCGTGGCTTATCCTTAGCAACACGTGAGATCATAAACGGGTAAACAAGACTATAAAGTATCGAATGTGAAATAAGTAATGGATACTCAGCTCTTGAGGTACGTCTGTCCCTGGCACTCAAAGCCTTACTGACGCGTATACCACGAAAAATACTTACTTTCTTCCTTGTAGCAATCCAGCAACATCTCGCTCGAAACAATGTTAGCTCGCATGATAAAAGACAGAAACCGCCAATAAGGAAACGAACAGACAAGCAAACAAGTGCGACAATCACGAGTGGCAAAAACTGCTCTATCCCTGTGACCACCCCCATTCCAGCCCCACCCCGCTTCTTCTTAAGAGAACAAGCGGAGTGGGCGGCTGTCTCATAGTTCGTCTCTCTGAGCTAGCTGGTGAGCGATGTCACATTGAACTCATGATTTGCTCGCGGTATGCTCCGCAGAGCAGCGAGGCAGTAATTACGACCTGGCATGCCCGGAAAGTATGACCCTCCCGGATGGCACGCTCTTTCGTCAGAAGGGCACCACCTCGCACGCGCCAATAGCCACGTGGCTTTCGAAAAAAAAAATATCCATATATATGAAGCTTTCGCGACATATGCGGTGATTGTAAGAAGCAAAAGCTGAAACAGAGAGGAGGTTAGTAGTCGATAAATGCACATATACATATACCACACACCCCGCGGCGTAAGGTGTTGCTCAACCTAGCCGTCCTTTTTTCATTCTTCTATTTTTCCTCTTGCACAGAAGGTATCACTCAGGAAAAGACTCCCTAGGGCTGACGTAGGTGCGAGAGCTATGAGGGAGGGAGGACCACATGGGCACTCAATGCCAGCGCATCAGCTGGCGTCGAAAACGCGTGCGCCTCGCGCGTGCTCCACAGGAGAGGCAGCCGCCTTTCTCCTGAAGCTGGCGATTGGTCAAGTTCAACGGCAACAGGCGAAGCGGTAGCAGCTCGCGCTGACCGCCACCAAGGTCCCGCGGCACGCGCCGCGGAGACGACACGGCTGTGGGGGAGGAGAAGGCATGTCGCGGGGCCACCCCCGCCGCTCTGCCTTTCCCGTCACCCCCCTCGGTAGCAGCCCTGCTGACGTAAATTCATTGCCAGTTCCGAGTCGATTATTCCGAGACTGAAAGTCGTCCCCTGTTCATTCGACCAAGTGTGGCGGACGCCGGCGGTTCCAGGACTACAGAGAACCCCTCGCCGGCACGGGCTACAGCGCACGCGAACGTCGAGAAACCCCTCGCGCGCCCGCAGCCGCTGCACACTCGAACACGATGACCCCTGGATCTGAGCAGCTGAGGTGCTCGCGCGGTCTCCTCCTGCTACTCCTCGCGGTCACCTCACCGCTCGTTTCGGCGCAGCTGGAGGACAACTCAACGCGAGCTGCGTCTCGAAGGGGTCTGTCTGCCGTCAGTACCGATGTGAGCACTTCAACGACTACGGAAAAGCCAGACCCCGTCAAGGAGGCTCTCGACTCCATGTCCGAACGGATCACGCGAATCGTGATGAAAGAGTTCTACCCCATGGTCAGCGAGCTCATATATGACCCGCGACTTTCAACGGGTTGTATCGGGTCGCTCATGAAGATTGGCCCGGCTTTGAAGAATTTCGACATCTGGGCCGTGGAAAGTGAGTGCTCTCCTGTCGTTACAGCTTTTTGATCTTCTTTACGGCGTCTTGGTGCTCACGTGTGAGTTCAAAAACAAGCTTGAGTCCTTATGCGCTCAGGGCAAGCGTGTAGCAAGTTTCTGTTTTTTTCATGTTGTCACAGTCGTGACAAACGTGAATCTTTTTACTAGCGCCATTGTTACTCACCTCGTTTTGGCCCCTGGACATTTCATCTAAGGGCAGTATGCAGCTCCCACTGCTCTAGATTCATTTGCTTGCTTGTGTGAACTCAAATCATTACTCCAATTACGTATTTTATCACAAAAACTATTTCCTATAAAATAAGTGCGGTCATTTCATTTTGACTGGATGGATGTCAAGTATTGTAAATTATTCCTTACACTGTAATCTTTATTTTCTTTCACTCAAACACATCAGGGGTAACTTTACAGCCGTTTTTTTTATAAATACGTATTCGTGCTTTAGCGAAGCACCCCATATAGTATGTTATAATTACTCACGTTAGCCCATGTTTCCTGAGCAGGCTTAACGCGTGATAAACTTTAAGGTGACCTCCTGATGTCTTAAAGATTATCATCCGTACCTGCTTGTCCTCACAAAACACAGGCTGTGCTGTTCAAGGAGTATTGTTGCCTATGATGAAGTGAAAGCAATATTATTAGCAAAAAAAGCCGTACATAAAAGTTCAGAAAACTATCTACGCAAATAAATTGGCTGTCTGTAGCTTTCGAAGGGAGCAAAAGTCTCACGTCTATCACCCCATTAGCCGCAACAGGTTCCCGGCTTGATCGCTTTTTTTTACGCCCTCGCGGTCATACTAACGAGTATGATCTATTTTGGTGGTTTATAGGCTGTAAGGCTTGGCCGCTGAGCTTGAGATCGTGGGTGTGACTCGGGTTGCAGACTTCGCATAAAAGCAGGGAATGCAGAAAAACCAGGGACTTCTGATTAGGATCACGTTGCTGAAGGCCATAGAAAAATCAGCAGGAACCATCTGCTACAGTATATTTCTTATGGCCCCAATACGAGCTTTTGAAATCCGTCACTTGTACAAACGTACAAATGATATGTTTCGATACGCATATGATTTTTTTTTCTAAAGCCCCCGTCTCCGATTTAAGTACTAGCGCGATATAAAAAGTCCAGATGTTCCAAAGGGGATTTTCAAATTATTGGCGCATTGCCTCGGGTACCGAAATGAAAAGGCCTATGAGTCCAGCCGCAGAATTTCCACATCGAGCTAAATAAAAATAGGAGTGAGGGAAGTGGCGGAGAGGAGGCGGAGATGTACACGGTTAGTAACTTCGTCTTAGATATTTCCTAGAACATTATGTCAAACTAAAAAAAATCCAGTTGAACTATGATTTACGTCAGTATCGAGTCGAGTCAGCTGTCGTGATACGCTGAGCAACGTAAACTTCATAGCTATTATCAAGTCAATACCACACCATGCGCGGCCAAACATTTTCATTAGTTTGCCGCGTTGGGTATAGAACAGACTGGGTGGTTGGGTTGGAGGCCTTACTCGAGCCGAGTAGCCCCTTAACACGAGTATAGCCATAAATACACCGTGAAAGAATGACGATATTTATCGATAACTGACGAAAGCGTTTACAAGAACATAACGAACGTAATAAATTAGCGTTCCTGGAACGAACAACCACCCAGTATACTTTGAAAAAGTAAGGAATAAAATGCAACAGATTGTCTGTGGTGAAGTAGGGAACGGAACTTGCTTGTCATCGGCGGGAGCGAGTCATTACAGGACATCGGTCACGTTGGCGGCTGCGAAACTTGGTCGAACGCCAGAGCGGGCAACGAACGGTACTCACCATGTGTTTCCCGCGTCGTCGACGATGACACCGAAGGATGGGCGGGGTGTCGTCGTGGTGGGCCGTAAATCTCGTCACGGCGTCGGCGGTGCTGACGGTTCGCTCCTCCGAGGCATTTAAGGAGACAGCTGCTGAGGAGAAGCGCGCGCGCGATATGGACGGGCCGTCGTAATCTCACGCGGATCTATACGCCGTCCGACGTCTGGGTTAACACTTTTCCTCCCCGTCCCGCGCTGTTGGCGCTCGGTTATGCGCGCGCAGTCGCGGCGTGCATAAAGACCCCCACCACTTATACGGGACGATGCATCGGTCCAAGGCATATGCTCGTGCCGAAGTTCCCCGCGTGCAATTGGGCGGAGGAGTGCGAGGCAGAGCACCAGGTCTGTTCTCTGCTTGCCAAGACAGCGGAACGGTTAGAAAAGCGCCTTTCTTCATGAAAGTAGTTTCGTATTTGCATTTCGGAAAGACTGCCTTTCGGGCGATATTGTGTTCGGTAACTGTAGTATGAAATAGCGTGGCACAAGAAGGGAAAAACTAAGTCGCACTAAATGACAATTTAAGAGGGCGCTTTCAAGTTGACTCTCTGCAAACGTGTCGTGTTCGTCGTGGTTTCTTTCATCCGTCGTGCTAATTCACGCTGAAGTATTTTCGCATTGCCCCATGAAAACAATTCAACGGTTCGGCAGGAAAGTGACTATAGTGACAAAGATGCCCCACTTCTTAATCTATTATTTCTTTTTTATCTGAATTGAAGCTTGAGACGTATAACCCGTATAAAGGTAATAGGAACAAATATTCATATACACCAGCTGCGTTTGCTTTTTGTATACAGATGCCATCTGTGAGACCCTGCGACCTACTCTGTGTCCAATCGCTTTGTGATTCTTTAAGTGTGAAGATGTTTAAACAAGGTAACAATCAATTCTAAACAGCGCAGCGTTCATCTTTTATTTCGTTCTGTACAACATAAGCTGTTGCTGATATAACTTTGCCAATTTTATTTATGTAACAAAACCTTTTGACCCAATAGCGTTAAAGAGCTCGTATTGTAAACATTGCGGCGTTGGCGTCATTAGTTGTGATAAAAAATATATCATCAGCCCATATCCAAAAAAGTTGAGAATGATAAAAATAAAAATATAATAATGAAAGTGTTCGGCTACGAGTGAGGATTGAACTCGGGCCGTCTGCACAATAAGCAGGTGTTTTACCACAGAACCTCGATGTTTGTCGAAACTGATTTGAAAAAACAAACTATATGAGAGTCTTGTACTAGAATGAGTCTCCTCAACGCATCATATATTGCGTTGCAGAGGAGTAAAAATTGCTCCAGGCGTCAAAAGATGTGAACTGAGCAACGAGAGGGTGTTTTAAAGGTACACCTATTACAAACGGCTCAGACATATTTAATCACCATTAGCACCCGAACCTTCAACTAAGTGAACAGCTGCGTAGCTAGGTTCGCGTGTTGCCCAACGGACATGTAGTGGGTCCTTAGTTTATTCGTAAAAAGTATAATTATGGCGTAGTGGGCACATAACAACGGTGCTTGCAATAGACATTCAATCATACTTTGAAAAGACCGATGTTGCGCGCACAATGATCGTTCGCTTCCTTGCAGCACGGTTGATTGATTGATTGATTGATTGATATGTGGGGTTTAACGTCCCAAAACCACTTCATGATTATGAGAGACGCCGTAGTGGAGGGCTCCGGAAATTTCGACCACCTGCGGTTCTTTAACGTGCACCCAAATCTGAGCACACGGGCCTACGACATTTCCGCCTCCATCGGAAATGCAGCCGCCGCAGCCGGGATTCGAACCCGCGCCATGCGGGTCAGCAGCCGAGTGCCTTAGCCACTAGACCACCGCGGCGGGGCACAGCACGGTTGAGGCACGCACCGAGAACCAAAGCTGGTTAAGCAGCTCATAAGGCGATGTGCGCGAGGCCCGATTACGCCAACGCGATCTGCTCTCGAAGGCGAAGCTCAAACGTCTTCAAATTTTATTTTCAAAAGTACCATTCTTCTTCGAGCAACGGTGTCCACGCGATTCGACATAACATGACTTCTCAGATACGGCACTCTCTTGATGGGCAGCATCCATAATTGTATTCGTCCGGGTGCAAAACGCTGGATAAGAAACACCGTAGCAGGTGTGGAGACAATGGGTTCTGTTATGCAACCATCAGAATGTAAGCAAACAATAGGGACGCTGAATTGGGTGGCAACATCAATGAGGGAAAGAATACGTGAGCGAGAGAGGGCGAAAGATTGTTTGTTATCCCGTGTGCTCTGTGGAATTTGTGAGCCATGTTTACAGCAGCGTATACCTCGGAATAGTTTTGCATGCTCTGTGGAATCGACCGTGGCGATGACTTGTACATTGCGAATCCAAGAAGTGCCACTTAGAGAGAGCACCATGCACATATTCTGGCACAGGTCGGGAAAAAAATGTGGAGATCACCCAGACTCACTCACGAAATATACTTTACCCTTACGGCTCACTCAGACTTAGACTCGCCTAACTTTTCTTCAACCGGACTCATGTGAACTCAGGCTCGTCGAAATTTTTCTCAACCAAACTCACTCACACTCAAACTCACCAAAATATTACTGAAGCACGCGGCTTGATCTCAGTCTCAGTGAGTCCACTCATGAGTGAATTTGCCGACCTATGCACGTTTACAATCGAAGACATGCATGCATCTGCATGGTAAAAAATGAAAACGAAGCCGCTATAGGACTTGCAAAGATTGCGCAGCCGCATGAGTTTCTAAAGAGGATAATTAAGTTTCCATGTACGCAGATATTATTCTTATATCCCCCCCCTCGCATTGTCTCAGTTCAGGAGTCACAAACTACTTGTTTGGAGTATCAAAGAAGGGCAACAGAAAGAAAACAGGACGCTATTGCCACCTCGTGCAGCCATTCAAAACATTTTTTTTTGTTTTCTTTATTTATAGCTGTCTGTTTTTGTTTGCTTTTTCTTCTCTTGGCTTTTCCGTCAACAGTACGTCACTACTATTGAATCATTTCAATACATGAATGTTTTGTTTTGTTTTGTCTTGTTTTGAAGCAGAACTCTATAGCATCTTGTGTGTAGCACGCATTACCCGTTTTATGCCTTCTCTTAAGCGCGTTTGCCGAGGAGCATTGTCAATGCGCGCGCGACCGTGCGGATATGGAATACACCGGCTGACAGTGACACATCGGTGAGCGGGTGGTGGATCAGGCCAGAGGAGGCATCACTCCCAAGATTCAACGCTGCGGGATCGTGATGTCGCACGGACAGTGATAGTATTCGTCAGATGCGACTTATCTCCGATATGGGTGTGCTATAGTGAAAGCGGAAGAGGTGTGGAGAGGGCGAATTCACCAGGGCGTGAAGGACGCGCCCCCACTTCGGTAGCGGCCAGTTACGAATTCCACGATTTCTATCGGCCGCTATTTACACTTGCACGCATGATTGACTCCCGGCACAATGTCCGAGAAAGAAGGGACGCGCGCGAGATTCGCTGACTCGGCAGAACAACAAGTTCTTCCACGATGGCATGCGCTCTTGTCAGGCTGCGCAGTACGTATGGTGGCCATTCGGTATACGAAGTATGTGCAAGTTCCCCGCGGCGCGATGAGTAACGGGTACCAAAGAACTGGCTCGTGCACACGCGTCTCGACAGGATACAGCGAGAACGCCTTCGTGTACGAATGCGCGACGCCATGCCAACATTTTCCCGCTTGCTTCTGTTTGCTTCTGCCGGAAGAAGCGCCGCTGCGCGAGAACTCATTGTGGGCATCGTCACGTGTTGAAAGGCACGTGTTTATGGTGAGTCGGGATCTCGGGAAGACCCAACGTCTCGGTGGTATTGGAAGAGCGTGTGTTCTCTCGACCAGAGCGACGCCAGGGCAGCGGGAACTCGTCAGATTGTCGTTCTGTAGATCACCTGTTGTCCCGAGGTCAAGTACACCTACTTTTGTGTAGCATCCACGCCTGTTGTAACGAGATTTACCGCAGAGAACCAACGCTGAAAGCTTCGAAGAATGAGACGAAAAATCGCGAAAACGCCCACTATGGCAGAAAGTTAGGTGAATATTAGGTAACAATGCTCACATACAGCTAACCACAAACCCCGTGGCAAAGTGGCTGAAGAAAGGGGCAGCCATAGGAGAGCATTGGTCAAGTTACTCTCAAAACTTGTTTATAGCTCCAGATAGCACCCCGAAGCATACGTCGCTTTGCACTCTGCAACATTCTTTGTTTCTAACGAAATACATAGTTGAATAGTTCACTGAGGAACAGAAACGCCGTATGGATCACAAGCACTTATAGTTCTTTAATGACAGTATGGTGTCATGTGCCTTTCTCTCGGACATCGAAGATAAAGCAAAATTAAAACCAAATTTTGAAAGTAGTATACGAGCAGGTATTCAAGATAAAATGACTACATCGAAATTTAGCCAGCGTTGCTACACGTATTCAACTATTACAAGCGATTGAAATGCTAGTTGGATCATGAAACATTTACGCACGCACTTTTGTGTACGACGGGTGTGTGGACACTTCCATCGTCACAATATATTTGCCAATTTGGCTAGATCTCTCTGTCAATGCATTTTGCCTTGTGCTTTCTGTTGCAGGTATGTTTCCATGCTTTTGTTATTCAGTGCACTATGCAGGCCGACTTGTTAGCGTCTCACTTCCCTTTTTAAAACATGTTCGAGAAACCTTACATAGTAGTTTAGCAGTTTCGTAGTGTATACCCGCTTGTATTATGCATTTTCGAAGTGTAAAACGCGAATGATCGACGGACAAAAGGAGAGTCATACCCACACACTGAGCGCCGTGTGCGAGTAAGCTATCCTAATTTTTTTATTTATTTTATTTATTTAGCAATACTGTCAACTCTCTTGCGAGATTGCTTACAGAGTGGGTAACATAATAAAATAATGGAGTAAAAAAGAACATCCATTTCTGCATTACGTCAACAATTGCAAGGCTTCCCGAAAACCTTATACATCCTATGATGAACTGCACTGTTCTGACAAGTGCCTTTTGCGATCGGTTATAAAACATCGTTCAAAGTATGTAGTGGTCACATTTATGCGACTAGACTGTGTATT